CCCTGAAAAGCCTGCAGATGAGGTTCCGCCTCCCTCGGACCAAGCTGAGAAGGGCTCCCCTGAAGCCAAAGCTAGTCCCAAACGGAAGTCTCGAAAGACAGCAAAGGGCAAAGCCTCTCCCAAGCCTAAGGCCAAGGCCAAGGCAAAAGGCAAGGCCCAGGCCAAGTCGAAATCAAAAGCTGCTCCCAAGAAGAGGGCAAACAGCAAGGCCCAGGAAGAGAAGCCTGCTGATGATGAGGAGCACCCGAACAAACCCGAGGCACCTGAGGCACCTGAGGCCGTTGTGCTGCCTGAGGGTTCTATGGAGCCTGAGGTCAAACCCAGTGAGGAGGCTGCGAGGATGGCTGAGGCTGAGGCCGAAGGTGGAAAAGGTGCTGGTGAAGCGTCCGGAAAGGCATTGGAAAAGAACGCCAGGCCTGCTCCCAAAAGGGGACCTCGAAGGAAATTGGCTAAGGTGCAGGAAGAGGAGCCAGGGAAAGCTGAAGGTGAGGAGCTTGGCAAGGGTGATGGCCAGGATGAAGAAAGGGCCAAGAAAAAGCCAAGGGTGTCAAATGCAGAGAAGCAGACCTTTGCCAAGAGACGTTGCCCCAACACAGAGTTTGGTGCTGCGAAGTTCAAAGCCATTCAAAAGGCTTTCTTGGAGGACATTCGACCTCTTCTTGCATCCTACTCTCACCATGAGGAGAGGTTGGTATATTTCTTTGTTATTGTGTGCACTGTCTTCTATCCAAAGATGGGTATGGCAATGCAGGTTACTGCATATTGCAGCCAAAGCATCCCCAAACATCCCAAACAAATTGTTAATAAAGACCCTTGGGTAGGAAAGGGTGCAGGTCATACTTTTAGCAGTTGTGGTGGGAAGTTATCATCCAAACTTTTACAAACATATTCTTTAGTCACTTTGGTATTTGACCTTCAGTAGGAAACAAAACGCTGGAGAACAGCTGTGCTCCAGGACCGCTTCTGGAGCTTCTGCAATGAAGAGTGGCGTGGGACCGATGTTCAGCTGGCCAACCTTTTGGATTTGGCAAAGGGGGGCCTCACAAAAGTATGTGGCCCAGCATATCAGCTGATAGTGTGCCCCTTTTTTCGGGGAGTTTGATCTATTTGGGATGAAGCTTCTCAAAGCTTCATGGCAGACCATGGGGTTCAACGCACTGGCATAGATTAAGCTGGGCTCCAAGACCTGTGATCCAGTGATCCTTTTGAAACCTTACTAGCCAACTCTTATAATAATTATAGGGGTTGTGCTGTGGTAGGAGCAAAGCGCAGGTCCAATGGGGTTCCAACCTTCTGTCCAGACTGCCCGTTGACAACTTTGCCAGGAAAAAAATGGTCAATCTTTCACAGCAACATGAGTCCCTCAACTCCTTCAACCCTCTTGCTTAGAAGGAAGTGTGTTCAATGACATGACACCCAGTGTATGTCACTTCCCAATGCCCAGTGTAGGTCACTTCCCAACTCGACCAATCCCCATCTCTTGGACACCACGCTGGCTCCCACTGTGGCTGAGGCTGAACGCTCTGCGTGGATCCTGCCGGGATGAGGACATCTGGTCAGAAAGCTCGCAAATCTGGCTTTCTTTTGGGCCAGTGTTCTTTTGTTGTTCGATGTTGCCCTGCAAATGTGGCATATAGGGCACTGCTATCTTCTTGTTTGAAAATTGCTGTGTGTGGCACAGTTGAAGCACAGCTGAAGTGTCTAGCGCACATCTGGCCCAAACGGAGTGACAACATTGACCCCAGCATGGCAGTGCCCCCCTCCAACATGGACTTCTTGGAAATTCTGCTGAAGCGATTGCATAGTTTGGGGGCGCCCAAGGCTAGGGGCAGTTTGTGTGAGAAACCTTTTTGTTGACTTGACTTTCAGTTTCCGGTCTCAGTATGAGTATGACCTTGCAGGTTTTGCTGTCTTGCGTGATCCTCCTGGCCCTCAATTCGAAGGTGGAGGTCTTGAACCAGGATGGGGGGCGCAAGGGTCCTCGCATGAATGAAAATGCAGTCCTGCAATGTTATTGTTTGAGTTGGGAA